GTGATGTTCTCTGTAGCTTCCCAGGATCAGGCTGCTCGAGCACCTCCGAATTCTCTTGGTTCTCGCGCCGCTGGCGAGAAGCTCGGATTTTTCCAGGCGAGAAGGACCAGTCGACCCGGCTGGGATCGAAGAGGTTGGCTCGGAGCTTGGTGTTGGCGACGCGGAAGCTCCGGACGAGCCACATCGTCTCTTCGGCGTCCTCCATGGTGGGACACTCGCAGTAAGCGTAGCCCACCGATTGCTGGGATGGCCCCCTCGAGACGAAGTCCCAGCGCTCCACGCCCGGGAGGCGCGCCATGAGGAAGTTAAACTCGCGGCGCTTCACAGTGAGAGGGATGTTCCAGACGCAAATGAGAATGGAGCCACACTCGCTCTCGTGGCCCTCTTTGTTTGTTCTACGCCATGGCGCTGGATCCTTGGCAGACCTGGAGCTGCTTGAATCGTCGGGAAATCTCTCCAGTCGCTGGCCCAGCGAGGCCGTGGCGACTCGAAATCGACGAGGATTGGCGATGATTCGTCCGCCCGGCAGAGCATTCGCGTGAAGAACTATTCCGAGCATAGCTAGGGTCTTATACTGCAAAGTAAAACAAATTGTTATGGCTAATAAGACACAACTAATTTTCCAGAGACCTCTCCAAAAGCCCTAGAATTTCCCGAAAAACCCTAAATTTTGGAGCGATGGCCAAGTCGCTGCGATCCAAGCGCAAGATGCGACTGAGGACGATCAAGCGGGAGATTGCGGAGCCGCACTTCGAGAAGAAGGAGCTAGAGAAGCAGGCGGCGCTCGAGGCGGCCATGGCGGCGCCCAAGGTGGAGGTGCGCCGCCGCGAGAGCAGCGCCATGGGTGAGTCTATACCGCATTTTGTAGCTCTTGCTTGTGCTCACAGCTGGGGATTTCTGGGGTTTTGTTTTTGTCTCTCCCGCAGAGATAGAAGAAGAGAAAGTGGAGGAGCAGGAGAAGAGCGGCGGTGGCGCAATGGAGACGGACATGATGGCGTCGTCTCTCAAGCCCAAGAAATCGATCAAGAAGAGGAGCAAGAGCAGAGGAAGGCTGAAAAAGGAGAAGCACAGGCAGAAGAAACTTAAGTTTTGAAGGCTTAGCTCTCGGGATACTAGCGGTGACAAAATGAATCTTGGTCGGCTAGCTAAAAGTTTCTCCTTTTTTGTTTCTTCGCTATGGAAGTAAACCGAGAATTGTAATGACAAAATCATGTACTTGAAATTGTCATCGATCGGGTAATCTGTGACGGCAATGGCACCTGCTCCAAAAATTGGCAGCGCAATGAAACTACAGAAAGTTTAATACGAATTCTGCTAGACTTCTGGTTTTGACAAGATCGGGACCAACGAAGTATCTCTAGAAGACATGTACAAAACCAATCCAAGGTGAGTGGCAACTCTCAACTGGAGAGTTTTCTCGTACCTTGCAGAAGCGATACATGCACGGCGCCCATGTATAAAATGTACACCTTTGGATCATCAAAACCTTGAGTTGCAATGCGTGCCAAGAGCAAGGAGGAGATAAGGAGGCGTTATCATTCATGATATGAAAGGTTTTCTTGCAGGGAGCTCGGGATTGGCAATTGAGATATTCTGACAGCGCCATGGTTTTCTTACTCCGGGATTTCTTACTCTGGACAACTGGATTGCTTGCTTTTGTCAAGAAGAGGAAGTTGTGAAACGATGGGTCACTAAATCCCTGCGCAAGGCTCGCAAATCGCGGAAATAAGCAGCTCTCGAACAAAAGTATACAAAACACTTATTGGATCGGAATATGACTTATACTTCGAGACACACAGACGGGTCATCAGATGCATACTCTACAACCCAACAAGTTAACAGGTGTTTATTCACCACACTATTTAAATAGATAAAGTGCGCTTACGCTTGGGCAAGTGGGATAAGTGCATTGCCCTAGGTTTTGCCCTACTTAGCTTAGGTCATGTTTAAATTTTAATTAACGAAAACAAAACAAAATACAAATACAAATGATAAAACCCTCGGGTTTTAGGGTTTATGGCTATGGCGTTGCGCGCGTGCTTGCGCAGGAGATTATGGGCGCGGCACGCGTTCCCAGTGCGCCCAATGTGCACTGCGCCCACAGACGCGATTGAAATGCCAGGTAAATCGGAAGAATCTTCAGCAGCCCCAGCAGAGGATGGCAGATCGCCGGAGCTCGTCTTCGCCAGCGCAATGTTTCACTCCTCCACGAACTGGACCCTCCGCGCCCTTGTGGAGGATTTTTGCAGCCTGCTGGAAGGGAAGAAGCTGATGAACAAGCTGGGCTTGCGCTACCTGCGAAAGAGGTGAAAGACGAAACACTTTGATCGCTCCAGGAAAAATCTGATGGAGATGTTTTCTAGGATCGCAGTGGGCTTCGGCAAGCTATCCTCGGTGGCAAGCGAGAGTATCCGCTGATCCTGGAGAAGGAGTCCAAGATCGGAAGGAAGCCAGTGCCTGTTCCAAAGGGAGTCACTGTGAAAATCGATGGACAGCTGGTGGAAGTCACGGGTCCGCTGGGGAGCTTGTCGTGGACGTTCCGAGACGAGGTTCGCATCACGCTGGAGAACGATACTCTCATCCTCAAGAGAGTGATGGAGACGAAAAAATCTCGAGCCATGCACGGTCTGTCACGGTAAGCTCGACATTCTCATTCTTTTCCTTTCTTCTTCTAGTTTGGTTTGTTTCAGTTTGCATTACTTTCTCTCTCTCGTAGTTTTGAGTTGTGGTTTCTCAGAGTTTGGTTTCCTTGTTTTTCAGTTTTTTTCATTTCGTGTTTCGTTTGCCCATCGATCTCTGATTTTTCTCTCTTTGATTTCTCCAGGCAGCTGCTGAGCAACATGGTGGTGGGAGTTTCACAGGGATTCGAGAAGAAGCTGATCATGGTCGGAGTTGGCTACCGAGCGGTGGTGCAGGGAAACAAGCTGCTGCTCAACATCGGCTTCAAGATGCCCGAGGTGGTGGCCATCCCCGACGGGATCACGGCGGTGGTGGAGGAGAACACCAAGATCACAGTCTCGGGGCGCGACAATGTGCTCCTCGGAAACTTTGCGGCGCTCGTTCGATCCAAGCGAAAGCCCGAGCCATACAAAGGCAAAGGCATCCGATACGCTGACGAGAAAGTGAGAAGAAAGGAGACCAAGAAAGACAAAAAGAAGAAGTAGCTCTTGAACGAAGAGAGATTTGCTGCTTCCACACTTGGCATACAAATTCACCAAAGCATTCCCCACAAAGGTAGGAGCTATTCAGTGACCTTTGAGCCCGTGATCTTAGCTCGTGCATGGATTCCATTCCCTCCTCTAGGATATAGCTCTTGTGTTCCTTGTTCTTGGAATTCTCATGAGAGCCGCGAAAAAGGTTCTAGCGATTACCTAGCACCCCTCCCGCTGGAAATCCCACGTACGCCATCGTCAAGGAATTCCACGACACGATGTTGTGGCACATCAGGCATGTCCGGGCATTTCTCTAAGGCATTCACAGCACTGTTGTCAAGGAAGAGTTTCGAGTAGAGGCCGCTCTCCACGTCGACCCCTGTGGAAATTTATGTGTGGAGAGCCTTAGATTATAGTTAAAGGCATAAAGCACAAAATAAAACAAATTAAAGTTACACAAAAAACAATGCCAGTATTTAGCAATGTGAAAATCTTTGTTTCCTCATAACTTCAATATAATATAGTGCTTTTTTCTCTTGTTGCGAGGTCTAGAGATGCAATCCCAAGTATTGTTCCAGCAAGCAAGCTCCTAGGGTGTAAGGTGGAGTTTTACATCCTTTAAGAGTGGGTTGTGAATGCTCTCCATATTATTGTCTTGATCCATATGCTGTTTGTAATTGTGTTGGAAATTGTTCTTGTGCTTTTTACTATTAACTAGAAACAAAGCATACTTATGTTAGTATCAATCAAATAATAATAAATAATAATCTAAAAGCAAGTTTTGCTCGTTGAGGCCCGCCGAATTGGGAGCTTATGGGATCGTGTAGTGGCGGGCGGCATTGGGAGTTTAAGAAAAAATAATTAAACTTAAACAACTTAGCAAAAGTTCCGTTGCCGGGAATTGAACCCGGGTCTCTCGGGTGAGAGCCGAGTATCCTGACCGACTAGACTACAACGGAATTCTATAGTAAGCTCCGAATTCTTTTCATCATATAGGCTTTGTGACGTGGTACGTGGCAGCGCCGCAGCCGTTTGCTGCATCTAAACGCGGCCAACGTATCCAAGGGCTCACAGTTTCCTTTCCAGACAACCAAGTGCCCTTCTTTGCGTGAATCGTGGAGATTTTTCCCGAGGCGCCGGATTGCTCGATCGATCCATCGCGGGATCGCACTCGAGCGGATCAATTGCTGGCGTTAGGTATTAGCGCGGCGGCCAGCGAGCAATGACGGTATGCGCTCGCTCGAGGCCAAAAGAATCTTGCATTGACTGGTGGTGTGTCGTGATTCGCCAATTCCAGCGGTCACAGCCAGTTGTGTTCTTCCTTGCTTGCCTTTTTTCCTTCTTCTTGCTTGAATCTTTCTTCGTGTGGCCGCCGTGCATGGATCGCAATCCCGCAATCCTGAAATATCGACTTCTTGTGCCAGATTGCGAGCGCCGCGAGGAATGTGGGTCGGGCGCCTGGGATTTCAATGGAGAAGGAGCGATCTTTCCGTCGCCGATCGAGCCGGTGAGTGTCGCAGCTCTTTGTTGAGTGAGGGAAGCAAGAAAGGAGGGAGAGAGATAGATCGCAGTGATTTTCTCTCGAGGGGGGATAGATCGCGCTGGGAGGAGACGAAGAGATGGCTCTTTCTATTTATTTCGGAGAGGAAGAGTTAGCGCAGTCCTAGTTGGAGGGAAGAGAGTGGGTATCGCTAACGCTATGCCTTTGGAGCCTCTTCCAGAGAGCATGAAAATTTTCACGCCGCCGGTCAATGCAGCCAGCCTTGTGGAAAGCTTTGGTGGTTTAAAGCCCGCAAGTAGGTCGAGTGAAAAGGACGTGCTTGTAAAAAAGCGAGGGGGGGACGAGGATAGAACAGGACTAGTCGTGGAGTCACTGGGATCATATAACACAAAGGCCAAGGATAAACTCACGGGAACTTCTTCCTCGCCGAGCGTCTACCACCACCACCACCACTCGAGCTTCTTGCGGAGAAGAGCAGTGGAAAGTAGTAGCGGCGGTGCTGCTGGAACATCATCTCTGGAGGTGGAGGAGGACGACGAGGAAGAGGAGTGCCGACGGGTCGTGAGGATCTTTCCTCCACCGCTGCCATCGCTGGCGAGGAAGGGGCCGTCGCAGTTCCCGTGCCAGATGCCGCTGGTGGCGCTTCACCCGATCAGGAGTCACGGCCGGTTCGTGCTCCAGGAGCTCAAGGTCCCCAAGCAGCTCATGTTCCGGCCCATCCGGACGAAAGGCAGGCTCATCTTGCAGCTCAAGTATGACGAGGACGAGGATGGCGAGGCGGAGCACGGGTTGATCGGGGGTGGTGGTGGTGGTGGCGAATCCAGCAGCGGAAGCTTTGGAAGTTCTGATATCTCCGATGCCGCTATCAAAAGCCTGTCGTCCACTTCGAGCGATTCGTCGTCACTGCTGTCTACAGGCCCGGGTTCTTCGTCGATCATACCTCCAGCTACGAGCCCGACTTCTCCGTCGCTCGTCTCAGCCCCGGCTCCAGCTACAGCTCCAGTTCCAGCTCCGCCGCCCCAAATCATCGACGTTTTCTGTCAAGGCCCGTGTGGCGGGCGAAAGATGGTCGTTGAAAGCGCCGCGGGGCTGGAACAGGGAACAAAGGCGTGACGAGGTACTGGATTTACGTACGTAAAAAGTTTCGTACCTATCTCCTCTTTCGTCATGCCGCTCGCTTATCATCTCTTTTCACTTTTGTTCGTTTTGGATAACAAAAACTGCTGCTTCGAGCTTATTGAAATCTGCACAAGCCAAGAGCACAGCTAAATCGGAGAAGCGGACATTCCTGCTGGATTTGAGCGAGCAAATGGAAACAAGCCACATACCGGAAGAGTGGAGTAAAATGTCGTCACGAGGTAAAGTTGCATGGAGATGGGGACGTCAGCACGACGTGTGCAGTCGTCGTCCCCGTGTCTTCGCGCATAAAATCCCCGCGAATATGCGCCCGAATCATTCCCCATTCAAAATAACCCGCTCGTGTCGGGCCCGTCTCTTTCTGTTCTTCGTGGGCCTTGGCTATGGACGCGGAGGACGATCCTGTGGATCCAGAGCCGGCTCTATAGCAAAAAAAAGAAGAGAGAAAGAGGAAAAGATTAGAGAGAAAGGAGAGAGAGAGAGAAGAAAGAAATTCACGATGTTACCCAGCTCGTCGTTTCCTCCCGTCTATCAGCAGGACGAGGGAGGAGGCTTCGATCCCACCAAGTCGGACAGGTACTGGGAATCCCCGGCCACCGTCTCTGTTGTCGACGATGATCTTCGGAGCTGCAACCAAATGCCGTTCAAGAACGAGTTCCAGGAGCTCCTGCCGGTTCCAAACGGGGGCAGCGGCAGCGGCATCTTCACTCCCGGTTCCCACCACCAACACCAGCTCTTGCAACCACAGCTCCAGTTTGGAGACGAGCAGGCCGCTCCCTTTGGCTCGATCAACGAGGCCCAGGCGAAGCAGGAGATGCTGGCTTACCAGGCCCTGTGCCAAGCCGAGCTCATGAGGTCGGAGAAGACGCCCCACCGGACGCAATTCCAGAGGGAGAACCACATCCTGGCCGAGAGGCAGCGGCGCGAGGAGATGAACGAGAAGTTCACGGCGCTCAAAGCGTTGCTGCCAAAGTCAACCAAGGTAAAGCCGTGAGCTAATTATTCTCTAACGAACATCTACTCAGTTGCTTTACCCGCGTCTCAGAAAGACAAGGCGTCCATCGTTGGCGAGACAATCAACTACGTTCTTGAGCTGGAGAAGAAGCTCAAGGAGCTGCAGTCGACGGCCAACAGCAAGACTTCCCACCGTCACAAGAGACGAGCACTGCCAGCAGAAGCAAATCCCGAGAGGAGAATAGCAACGTCGTCAAACGCAGATCAAGGAGAGAACCTGAGCGTAAGCATTTACTTCCGTCTCGATCACTAACGCCGTGCTTAAGAAGTTTGCGTTCAGGTGAAGCCTGCAGACATTGAGCTACAGTCAATAGGAGGACAAGCGATAATCAAGATGGTTTGCATGCGAAGTCCAGGACTTGCCTTACGAATTCTGGCGACCCTCGAGAGCTGCCAAGCGCAGGTGATCCAGTCGAACATTGCAACTCTAGGAAGCCATGCCATTCTCTTCTTCACTGTTGAGGTAATATTGATCGAGAATATGATTTCGTACCTCTATTTTTCTTTTCGTTAATTCAGCTCAGCTCGAGCAATACCAGCACCGAGGAGTTGATCGCAACTCTAGAGCTCGCAGCTAGTCGCAGGGAGTAAAATACCACAATTTTCAGACCATTTGTAGCTTCCAGTGTATTCCATCTACATAAATTCTCCTGGAGGGAGACTTGATAGCACCTTGCTTGCTTTGTGTTCTTGCTCATTCAGATGATTGACACAACAATGAATTATCGTGATTGACAAAAGTTTCTCCTGGAATAGAAACTCAGTGTCAAAAACAAATTGATTGTCAATATCTACAGACAGACATACCACTTATTTCCCATCCCGCGGCAATAAGTATCACATCTTGCTGTAACTGACGACCTTCCAGAGAGTTTCAAGCCTGAACAGGTGTTTTCGGCTGGAACTCTTGCGTTGTCTTTACTGCTCTCGAAGACACAGAGCCCGTACTCAATCTGTGTACCAGCCCAGAGTTCCAGTACGCCGGGATTAAGACCGTAGGTAGCCTCCTGCTCTCCACCAAGTCTGGATAATCGGTGGTGTAATGTAGGCCCCGACTCTCACGTCTTGACAGTGCACTTCTAACAACGACGCGAGCGACACATATCAAGTTCCGCATCTCACAGACCTCCAGGTCCACCATATTTGGCTTCCACCCGTGCCTGAATAAATGGTCCTGCCATGAAGTTTCTAGCTCTTCCAGCCGTCGCTGTGCGATCTCCAGCCGTTCCGTGGACCTCACTATGCCTACGAAGTTCCACATTATCTGCTGCAGCGACTTTCTCTGAACGGCCGTGAACTTTCTGATCTCTTCCAACTGACTGTCTTCGAGGATAGCTGTCGACTCCAGCGGACGGGTCCATTCACGAGCCTCGTCCACTGCCCTGTATGATCCCTGTACCCGTTGAAAGTGATCATTTGACGGGTTGACGGCTCGTTGAGCGAACACAAGCGCTTCCAGCAGAGAGTTGCTTGCTAGCCTGTTGGCCCCGTGCAAGCCCGTGCATGTAACCTCGCCTGCTGCGTACAATCCTTCTATGGAGGTCTGACCGGACAATCCTGTTTGGATTCCACCGCACATATAGTGCGCGGCTGGTACGACTGGTATTGGTTCCTTTGTGATGTCTAGTCCACACTTCAAGCATTCCCGCGCGATGTTTGGAAAGTGGCCGAGAACCTCGCCCGCAGGCTTGTGGCTGATGTCGAGGTAGACAAATTTCTCGTTGTTCTTCTTGAGTTGATCGTCGATGCTCCGAGCCACCACATCCCTCGGGGCCAACTCCCCTCGGGCGTCATACAGAGGCATGAATCTTTCCCTGGCCATGTTAAAGAGCTTTCCTCCTGCACCTCGGACAGCTTCGGTGATGAGAAAAGCATTCTCACGTGACTTTGGCTTGATCGGTAGACCGTCGTCAGCCAAGGCGGTTGGATGGAACTGCACGAATCTGCGATTTGACTGGTTAGAGAACATTTGAGGACAAAGAAGAAAAACATACTCCATGTTAGAAATCACTGCCTGCGCACGATGCCCCATAGCGACTCCATCACCGGTTGCAACCTGCGACATAGAACGCGTAAGTTGTGAAGAGTACAGCATTTAGATTACCAGTGGATTGGTAGTACTAGGATAAATGTGACCCGCCCCTCCAGTAGCCAGCAGAGTCACAGCTGAAATAAATCGAACCACCTGAACAGAGCGTGATCAGCTTTGGATGAAAGAACTCGCTAGACTCCTCACCTCTTTGGTTCTGACATTCAAAGTATCCAAGCCGTGACACGTGATTGTGTTGCCATCCTGTAAAGTTGTCTCAGTCACAGTACAAAGAAATAGTTGACCAACAAACCTCGTGTGTGAGAAGGTCCAGAGCAAAATGATGCTCAAAGATTGAGATGGAGGCATTGTTTTTGACAGCGGTGAGCAACGCACGCTCAATCTCCCTCCCAGTCATATCAGCGGTGTGAACTATCCGGTGATGGGAGTGGCCACCTTCTCTTGCAAGATGGAGCTGGCCATCTTCGCTATGATCAAAAGAAGCTCCAAAGGCCATGAGCTCTTTTACACGCTCGGGGCCCTCCCTGCACACTACCTGTCATTCGTAGAAACGACGTGTCTACCAAAACGCTGATTGACAACTAAGATGAACTTACCTCCACTGTTTCTTCGTCACAAAGAAAGGCCCCAGCCACGATTGTATCTCTCATATGATTCTCCACTGAATCGGACGGGTCTAGAACAGCACTGACTCCCCCTTGGGCATATCTCGTATTGCTCTCCTGTGGCTCCGACTTGGTGATGATAGCCACCGATCCAAACTTCGCAACGTCCAACGCATACCGAAGGCCAGCAACACCGCTCCCAATCACCAAGAAGTCGAAATATTTCGTCGAGCTTCCATCCAGACGTGTTCTTGAATGGCGGCCATTCTGGTGTGAGGAAATCCTCCCATTTGCGGCAGCCTTGATTGTAAGGAAGCGATTCGAGGCTTGACACAGCGCCAAAGAGGCATCCACCGATCGAAAACTCGACAAGCCGGGAGCGAAATACGCCGAGAAGCTGGCCCCTCGCAAGCAGGGAGCTCCAAAATCCATGGGAGAGTGAGACGATCTGCCAAGATAAAGGGATCAGCAATCCCGAGACCACCGGAACGCTCGATCAAGGTACCTGATTCCAGCGCACAGCTGCACAGACGCCATCTCCCAGCTGCGATCGCTCGCTCAAACCCTAGGCGCTAGACTCGGCGCCTTCTCTCTTCTTCCGCCCACTCTTAAGCAAAGGGATGGCGCGGCCCTATTTATATGAAATCCATCGATTAAAGAAATTTCCTTGAGCGCGAACAACGCACGGCACCCATTTTAAAACTCTCCCCTTGCACACCGGTCCTCTGCGCCGTCGATCCGCGCGACGAGGTTCCATTCCGGAATGTGGCCATGGCGATTCAAAGAGGTCGAAGCTTCCGACCGTGGATGAAATTCCGTGGAAGGATCAACGGCCCTTTAAAAAAGCGTTTGACTAGCTCCAAAAAGCACGCTGATTCAATGGCGGGCGCGAGCCACTAGAGCCTAGTGGCGCCGGCGCCCGCCACGTCAGCACTCTCTTATTGGGCAAGAATATTCTACTCCCTAGTGTCTTTACATTCTCGACTGCCACACTTGCACCTGAAAGCTTTGATGGGGTGGTTTTCGTCCGCAAAGTCGAGCTGATAGTCCTGTTTAAAAGAAGTTAAGATAGTTCTCTCCTTTTTTGTTTCTCACTCACCCATGTAAGTTCTTCCATGGCACTCACAGCGTGCTTGGTGAAGAGCGCAATCTAAAGATCAAGTCTGAGCAAAGAATCTCGAAGAGAAAACCGAAAAGAGATTGAAAAACTTACGTGGTAGAAGTGTCGATCGGGACACTCGATTTCGACAGGAATGTCGATGAGATTGGCATCTCCACACCTGGAGGAAACAACGTTGATACGAAAGATCGAGCGCTGGAAAGAAACGAGAGACGACAGTACCTGTGATTGATAAACCTGGCAACGTTTCCATAGTGTGTGCAGTCGAGGCACAAGAGGTGGTCGTCTTCCAGAATCCGCTCGGTGCAAACGTCGGAATCGAGATAGATTGGATAGAAATGCCTGGATTGCTTGAGAAAACGCTCCTCGTTCCTTTCGTCCAGCTCCGTGTTCGTGAGTATCTCCCCAATATACTCGCAGACGAACGCTCCCATGGGAAGATCTTCCGTGGTCCTCACTCCCCATCCTTTTCCAGTTGGAGTCCAAAACACCTGCGAAGAACAACAAAGTTCACTTAGAACCGAAACAAAGTTCACGTAGAACCAAAACTGAAGGGTACCTCGAGCTTGTATCTCACTCCTTGCTGAACGATTCGATTCCCACAGAGCTTCTTGTGGCACGTACACTTGACCCAGCACTCCTTGATGAACCGGCGAACGATGTGTCCTCGGCATTTCTCGGTCGAGCCCCGCGCCACCTCCATGGGACACTCTTTCTCGCACGTAACTCTCCGGCACGCCTCGTCACCCTGGGTCTCCCGGACGGCCTGCCTCAAAAGCTCCTTTTTGACGCAGCCATCCTCGTTGTACGCAAACTCGCCGCCGGTCTCTCGCGCGCAGTGGCACGGCCACTTCTTCTTGAGGCAGTTCCCGAAGCAAGCCGTGCAGCAGTTGTCCTGCTCGATCTTGCACAGCCGGATTTCGATTTTGGCCTTCTCGTACGCGACGGCCACGGCGGTGTAGGTGAAGTCCTCCGGCAAACTCTCGTCGCCGCCTGGAGCTCGCACGAACGGTATCGGGACGGACTCCGCGCCCTTCGCGATGTCGTTCGGATCGTGCCTTTGCTTCTTTTTATATCGGACTGGAGCACAAGAGAAGAAGCTTCGTCTGTCAGTGCAAGTTCTCGAGTTTTGGTGTAAGAAAAACGACTCACCCGAGCTTTCTCCCGTGTTGATTACTTCCAAAGCTTGCGGGACGCTAGGAACTCCTGCGAAAACAGCGAAAGTTTTCATAGTGAAAAGGAAAAGACCATTTGGAACTTACCCAATGTCAAGTTTCTCGCGGCTGCTGAAACAAGCACGGAGCTGAGGAAACGAGAAACAGGAACGTATCCAAAGAAATTTACCTGGTGTATTCTTGCTGGAGGAGACTGGAAAACGAGTAGATCGGAATGTAGAGGAAATGAAAACGTAGACACAAACCTGTTTTTACCAACTTGCCGGAGCTTTTCGGCTCGGCCGATCTCGGCGAGTTTTTCTTGTCCGCTTCGCATTGCAGGCGCAATTTTTTCACGCATGCTACAGGATATAGTCATTAGTTCTAGAGAATGAAAAAGAACAAAGAAAAGACTAATGGAAAGTTTACCTGAAACGTGCTTGTTACTCTTCTCCAACGCTTCGTTATTCCTTCCCAACGGAATGAGAAACTCGTCAAGGCCTTTCCTCTTGACGCTGGGAGACGAGCTCGGACCAGCTGCGGATCGATATAGATCCAAAACGAAATTGAAAACGAAGGAAAGATATGAGATGAAATTACCAGTTTCCACAACTGCATTGCCTCCTGGATCAAAAACTAGATAAGAAACGAAGGAAGATCGAAGAAGAAACGAGAATACCATCATCCACAAGCTCCATCACAAGAACTTCGAAGTTGTTCTCCTCAATGTGAGTCCAGCTCCCCTCGTAGACCTGGAAATCCACCGATGACCGCGAAAAGAATCCAAAAAAGAAGGATCTCACTCGCAGCAGCCTCCCAAGCACATCGAGCACCAGGCTTCTCTCAAAACCCAGCTCGGCCATTTTGCTACAGGCAGCGTCTTTTTTCTCCTCCATCGCTAAACCCATTTTAGGGTTTGAGTGAGGATGAGCGGCCGGCGCAGGGGAATGCGGCAGGCGCTGGATTCGGGGAGCTGCGTCGATCCTCGCGCGAGCGGCTTGTCAATCATGCGCGTTGTGGCGCTGCGCGGATCTAATCTCGTGGAGGTACTTTGGAATCTAAGGTGCGCTCTCGATTTGCTCACTAATGCTACAGTAGGTTGAAGATGAGAAGCTCGAGAGGACGCTGTGCTTGCTTCCTGCCAAGTTCAGCAAATCTCTGTGGATTAAACGAGGTAAGCTTTGGAGGATCCAGACCGGCATTTTGATTCTTTGCTTGTTCTCTAGGGAACTACGTTTTAGTGGAGGAATCAGATCGCCAAAAGCTGCTCGACGCAAATGCCAAAGTGACAGGAATAATCTCGCAGGTTCTTTACAGGGATCACGTCAAAGAACTCCAAAAGACCGGGTGCTGGTAAGTGATTCGATCAAAGTTGCCAGGATGTCTCGCTCAAAAGCCAATTTTTTTTCCAGGCCTAAAGGCTTTCAGCTCACTGAACCAAAGGGTTGTTCTCAGCCAGCTTCGACCAACAAGGACCTGCAAGTAGAACCAGCTTCCGGAAATTCTAGTGATGAAGAGGATGATTTGCCAGCTCTGGAGCAGAACACAAACCGATCCAGAGGCGGGACCTTGTACTTGTCATCTTCGGAAAGTGACGAAGACTTGTGACAAAGATCTTCCTCGGTACTTGAAGTTCCTCACCAAAGTTCACTTTTTTCTCTGTAGAATTCACTCGTTTCACTTTTAGGACAGAGGAACTCTGGAGAGCGATCAAGGATTTTGTTCGAGACTCGGCTCCCGGTAAGTTTTTTTTACTTCGATCAATCAATCGCTTCGAGAGCTGTTTGGACCAAGGCCTAGTGATTATCAGAAAGAACGGAGATAAGATGGAGTCGACTTGTCGAAGCTCGCAGCAGCGGTAAAAACTCTGTTGTGGCTCCAAGTCAATTCCGCGCGACAAAAAACAAGAGAAGAGTGAAAAAACTCAGCTAAACGTATGACAATGAAGGCCTCCAAACAGACTCGAAGCATATCCCGCGCTAGATCCTCTGAGCTGAGCTGACTTACACTCACCCCTCTGATGTATAACAGCCCAGCAATTAAGCTAATTTAAAGGCGGACGAGGAGTCTTTCGAGCGTGCGTTAAATGCATCGTGTTTATATATTGTATTCTTCTCACTAGTTTTTTTTTGTTTTTCCTCTGTGACCATCCATCGATCCAAAGGAAAAAAACAACTTTGCGCTTCCAAAGTCTTCCAATTTCTCTGTGAAGTTCCAGAGCCGATTTTAATGGCGCTTCTCAGAAGTTGGTAGCCAGATGAAGTCCAGCCAGGGAGAGAGAAGAATCTGCCGCGAATCTCCGCGCGAAAACTCCGTATAAATACTTGGGCCATGCCTTCGTCTTGTTCTCAGATTGGAGCTTCTTTCTGGCGCCGAGCGTAAGCGCACTTCGCTTTGTTTGATCGAGAGGTGTGCTTATTGCTTTGCGCTTGTTTCCTTGTTGCTAGATCGATCGGCCCCGGCGCGATGGCTTCCAATGCAGCAGCGGGATTGCTCGTCCTCTTGGTGGCGCTCATCGCTTCGATCGCCAATGCTGATGGTAAGGAAGAACCATCGTCCTTTTTTGTTTCATCTTTGCGAGATTTCCTTTGATCGGTGACTTCGATCAGGTGGTCGCAAGCTAATGAAGAGCCAGGTGGAGCAGTACTACGACACTCCATCCCCGGTTTATCCCTCGCCATCCCCGGTTTATCAAAGCCCCAGTCCGGTATACAAGTCTCCTCCATCCCCAGTTTATTCATCGCCTTCTCCAGTCTACAGTCCACCACCATCTCCAGTTTATTCTTCTCCTTCTCCAGTCTACAGCCCGCCACCATCTCCAGTTTATTCCTCACCATCTCCAGTTTATCACAGTCCCCCTCCTGTTTATTCCTCGCCATCTCCAGTTTATCACAGCCCCCCACCATCTCCAGTTTATTCATCGCCATCCCCGGTTTACAAGCCCTCTCCATCTCCATCCCCGGTTTACAAGCCATCTCCATCTCCATCCCCAGTTTACAAGCCATCTCCATCTCCAGTTTATCACAGCCCTCCTCCGGTCTACTCCTCGCCATCCCCGGTTTATAAGCCATCGCCTTCCCCAGTTTACCACAGTCCACCTCCAGTCTATTCCTCTCCATCACCCGTGTATCACAGCCCACCTCCGGTTTACTCGTCTCCATCGCCTGTGTATCACAGCCCACCTCCGGTTTACACTTCTCCATCTCCGGTTTATCACAGCCCATCTCCAGTTTACGCTTCTCCATCTCCTGTATATCACAGTCCCTCTCCAGTGTATCAATCACCATCGCCAGTATACTCCTCGCCATCTCCAGTTTACAAGTCGCCACCATCCCCAGTATATTCTTCTCCATCCCCGGTTTACAGGTCGCCACCCTCGCCTGTATATTCATCTCCATCCCCAGTTTACAGGTCGCCACCTTCTCCGGTGTACTCGTCTCCGGCGCCAGTTTACAGATCGCCACCATCGCCGGTATATTCGTCCCCGTCTCCGGTCTATTCGCCGCCACCATCGCCAGTTTATTCACCACCACCATCGCCGGTATACTCATCGCCATCGCCAGTCTACAAATCGTCACCGCCTCCGGTGTACTCGTCACCGTCGCCAGTGTACAAGCCCCCGACGCCGCCGCCGGTTTATTCGTCTCCATCGCCGGTTTATTCTTCGCCACCTCCCTACTGAAGGATGCTTAGAATGTAAAGTTTCCATTCTCTGAAATTTCAATGAGCATTGTTTTCGGAAATATTGGTTTCCATTCTCCTAGAACAGTATGGGTTAACGTTTGAGCCGGAGAGGTTTTTCTTCGGCGATGAGAGATCTTTCGCTTCAATTTAAGCTCTTCGCGTATGGTTTCCTGGACTCCGCGGATCGAGCAGAACAGCACCACCTTCATTCTTCTTTTTAGCTCTGGAGTTTCTCCAGCTAGATCTAAGTTCAATCCTACAGAAACTACTCTCCATCAACATATGCCGCACCTCCGCGCAGGATGATTTCACATATGATGTCAAAACGGCCGCGGGTATTTAATCGACAATCGCAAAGACGGTGCTAGATCTGAAATTTAAAACAATGTGCGAAATCAGCTACTGAGAATCTTTAGCATAGCGGTATATTCGCTTGAACCATAGACCCGCCGCATGGTTTTGAGCGAGGCATGCTGGCTCTCGGCGTCGATGGTATGTTCGATCCAAGGCTTCTTCGTTTCCTGCCCTGCATGAATCCTCTAGAAAATTGTCAGCACTGCTTCGACAAATCTCGGCTCTTGGCACTCCACCAGGCCGGGAAAGCTCTGGCCGCCCTGTTCTAACCTCGACATTCGCTGGGAAGGGCAATCGAAAGAAGAAAGCTTCTTTCCCGGATCACTCCCAGCTCCGGCGCATTCTACTGCGCGATCTAGAGGATCACGGCCGAGTGATCTGTGGCACGCTCCATTCCGCGTCAGGGGCGTGATGACCGTGCTCGAATCGGAGGAATGCGAGAGCTTGGCGCTGAGGGTTGCCATCTACGACGAAGATCCGGCATGGCGCAGGAAATATGCCTCTGGGAAGAAAGGGGCCGTACTTCAAGCGCGGCGCCGACGGTGTTCTCTTCGTTCGCGTCGACAATCCCAGGTCCATTCAAGAGATCTCGAGCTTTGCTTGCGGTGACGATGATGCCCCCGCGAGTGACAGCGCTTCTTCTCCGCCAGGGAAGGACTACCCCGCCGCCAACTCTCTCAAGACCGAAGGGAATCACTTCTTCGGCCTCAAGAACTGGAACAAGGCCATCGATCTTTACTCCCAGTGCGTGAAGAGGTGTGAGGCAGCGCTGGCGCGAGGATCCATCGCTGGCGACGCGGAGAACGCCCTCAAGGTAGAAGTTTTGCTGCCGGCGCTCTCCAATCGTGCCGAGGCTTTCCTGAAGCTCGAGGACTTCGAGCACGCTCTGGTGGATTCAAACAAAGCGCGATGGTGGGCATATGAAGAGCACGCATCGCAAGGCGCAGGCACTGGAAGGCTTGCAAGAGTTTGAGAAGGCTGTGAGAAGGCGCTCGAGCTCTCTCCCTGGTCGTCGGCCGACCTCGCTCCATGCTTCGTGCATGCAAGGCTTGCGACCAGCAGAGCAAGACTGGGGAGTTCGAGATCGATGGTTTTTTCCAGAAGAAAGATCCGGCACCGAAATGCAGCGATTTCGTTGGGCCCGTGGACCTGATCGCTGCGGATGTCGACGACAGTGGACGTGGTGTTGGGCTTTTTGCGACCAAGGACGTGAAAGTTGGCGAGCTTCTGGTCGTGAGCAACGCTCTTGCTACTGGGTACTACGGCACTCTTGCGTGAGCAACGTTTCTCTGGTTCAAGTTGGAGACGCCATGTTTGCTCACGCCGCTCGGGACATCAAGGCCGGGGAGGAGCTCTTTCTCAGCTCCTTCAACACCTTGCAGCCTCTCGGGCGTCGGCAGGCCTTTGCAAGCGGCCTGGGATTCGCGTGCCGCTGCAAGCGGTGCCTGTTCGACAGCTCTCTCGAGATGCTTCTTCGGGACGTGGAGGATCGTTTCGAGGACGTTGTTCCTATGATCTAGGTCTGTTCAATCAGGACTGCTGCTGGAGATTTCACTCTGGCGCTGGAGAAGAAGCTCCAGCTGGTCGATGCTGATGAAGAGAAGTGCTGGCTGCGAGCTTCTTACACGCTTTCGTACCTCACTGCGGCTGTCAACTTGGAGCTCCTGGTGAACTCTCCCGAGAGGATTTGCAGTGGCGAGGAGCTGCTGAAGTTCATCGAGACGACTTGCCCCGGCCACTCCGTGATGCTGGAATTCATGGCGAAGAAGGTTGGAACGATGATGTTTGGGAGGGGCGTAAAGCAAGGGCGGGCTTCTGGATAAGGAGCTTGTGATGCGAGTTCACAGGGCGGCTTTTGGTAGCAGGAAGTGCGATCTCAAGGGCGTGCTGAAGATCTGGTACAACCAGTGTGAGATGGTACGTTCGTTTCTAAGTTTTCACTTCGCTCTCATGTAACCAGTTTGTGTTGCAGACTCCAAGCACTTTCGTTTGAAAGTTTCGTGACAACGAGTTCGTTCGATCTTATATGGTGTGGAATTTGGATTTCTAACTAAGGATTTTTTATTTACTCTTCTCTTTGCAGATCCAAGCACTCTTCGTGTTTTTTGTCTTCGATCTTATGCTTTCAATGTAAAGATATATCTATTTTGTCATGGTGTGATTCAATCTATGGTGAGTGAGCTTGTTTGGGAGAGGTGTGAAGCATGCCAACGGATGCAAAGGCGGGCTCCTTGACAAGGAGTTTGTGATATGAGGTCAAAAGGCGGCTTTTGGTAGCAGGCCGATCTCAAGGATGTGGTGAAGATCTGGTACAACCAGTGGGATGGTACGTTCGTTCCTATGTTTTCACTTCGTTTTTTCGTTTGTTTTTTGAAAGTTACTTTATTGGTTCCTCGCCAATGGGCTTGTCGCGATGTGGCAAATCAGAACGAGGAAATGCTGGTGGTCGGGAGTTTGACGATTGCTCGCTACAGAGGGCAAGCTCAGGAAAATATGGGGAATTTCTTAACGCGGCGTGCTGGCAAGAACAAGGATTTGCGGTATTTCTCCTTCCTGTTTCTCAGGGTGAGGTTGAGCTCCGGGCGGAAGAGTCTAGCCCGACGACGCGATTGAGGAAGCGAAGAATCCGTCCAGGAGATGCAAGGAAGACTGCGAGTGACAAGGACGCGCCGGATGAGGGAGGAAACAGCTATGCCGCGATCAACGAAGCCAAGGAGGAGCTCAAGGACAACTGACCATCTCGAATGCCAGCGATGTGGAAAAATCTCGAGAAGGGATCTAAGGAAGCGAGTGAGTTATAATCATTTGAACCTTCGACCTTGTGGTTAGCTAAGTTATTGATAAAGGTTCCGCTCCTCTGTGTCATGGTCTTGGCATCGTTTCCTGGAGGGTCTTGTGCTCCGTTGCTCCTGGAGTTCGTTGATGATGAAGACTTCCATGATTTGTGCTCGTGCGTTTGTCGTCGGCAATCCATGTTGGTGAGGTACCGCTAGCGGTGTTGCAAGTCCAGGGGCGGCTAGTAGTTGGGTGTTCCAGTCAGTGCAGAGGTGCATACTTCATGGAACTTTGGTTGGTTGTGCCTAATTCGAGTGGCTCCCTGTTCCGTATCATGCAATTGTTCTCTTGTTGTGCCATACATCTCGTCCGGGTTGATCTCCTGTGTATAAGTGGTACTTGGTTTTGGCTTTCCTGTTGTTGATCCACTCGATCAAGGTTGTGTCTAAAGGTCAGTGTTTTCCTTGAAGCTCTTGAGCAAGTGGTCGAGATTGTGTCCAAATCTGGTCATCCATCTGACTACGTCGTGCCACCCTCCTGTCCCGTGTTGTTGATCCAGTTGTTTGGAGTCCTCAATGGCAAGTCCGCAAGCTTTCCTCCTCGTAGGAACCAGTTCTTCTGCACACCAACACACTCTGCTGCGTCTTTCAGACTCGATTCACGCTGGGTCTGCTGTGAGCGCCGGGAAACCGGCACACGCACCCCCACCCCCTCGCTGGGTGTCCAAACAGTGAAGATAGAGGATAGTTCGGCTCCATGCCGTGGTCTCTATGGGCAAAAGGCCAGCTTTGGTCCCCACCGTAAAGCACCACTGTTGTGCGGTAGTATACCTTTTTGGCTTCCCGGCAAGTGGTGACAGTTCTAGTGTAGAGCTTGTTCCACTGCCCTTCGTGCTGCCTAGCTAGGGAAATTGTCCATCAAATGTAATTCCATGCTTCTTTCCTGCGTTTTGCATAAAGCAACTTACATTGGTAATAACAGTGAGATTTTGCCATTGCAAGATACATTAGAGCATCAACAATATTTTGATAGTTTTAGGATTTCTCCCCCTAACTTTAGAAAAAAATTCTTCACAGTGTTGACATAACGAAGAGATAAATTGAGAAAAATACATGTATTCTATTGATGCAGAATAAACTTTCATGATAATCTATTGTAATGTATTTGCAAGACCAAGCCAATATGATATCTCACTGAGATCAGTTCATCCATATAGATAATAATGATTGAAATTGTAGCAAACATAAATATTCTTTGTCCTTATGAATCCAGGAAATTTATTAATTGTGGGAAAGAAACCTTCATCAAATATCACACAAGAAGTGGAGTTAAAATATGTATAATTATAAGTGGGAGAGATGATATTTCAATAGCATTGTACTTATTGAACAAGATTATGAAGGGTTGTTAATGCAAATGCATGTATAAGTTTTACAAAATCTTAATGAACATACCTAATTTGATCTATTTTAACATATTTAGCTCTGCACTAAATAAAAAACTTTAGAAATGAATACTATATTGCATAATTGACATAATTGCTAAAAAGTATTGTCATAATTATCAATATATCCAAAAGTGTATTTTGCATAAGTGGTGGTGCTCAATTATAATGTTGTACCTTGAAGATATATTGGAAACTTACATAGATATTGAACATCATCCTAAGAATTATAGATGGCAATCACTATAAAATGATTAACTAATAGTACATATCATCTCTAAAATTCTTACAAAAATAATTCCACCAAAACTTAAATATTAGTAATAAAAGCAAAGAGTTACACCACATGTCATGAATGTATTTTAATTGTTTAGTTGTAATGGCATAACATATGTAATTGCACTAATTATTGCTCTAGAATAGAAAGAAGAGGAGGCCACTATAAAAGAGTATG